TTGTCATTTTGATCTTCCTCTTAAAATTCACCTGGCTTGGTATATTTTTTTAAGTTTTATATTACACTTTTAGCGCCAGGATAGCATATTCTGAAATTTATTTTCACCTGTAAACCTTTACTGAATGTGATTTGTATATATTTGTTTTTTTATTGAAATATTGCTAATATTTTAAGTCTATTTCATTTTCCAGTTCTTCGGAGAAAAAATTCTAAGAACCTTCCACTTTTCTAAACTTGTAACATGATATTAAATCTTTTTCAAAGAAAAAAAAATTGTTTGTATCATCTGTCCTCAAGTCCAAAATTTGGTCAATCCAGTATGTTGACCTCCTAAAACTGCTGTCTAAGGAGAAACAAAAGAAAGGTAAGTTTTCTCTACAAGTTAAAGATGGTGACAGTCCCGGTAAGTTGACAATACACCAGGTGGACAACAATTCATTAAATGACACGTCTGTCTCTTCCATGCATGACTGGCTTACAGCATGGAACATATTTTTAGCAATTAATTGCATGAAATATCCCGATCAACAAGCCAAATTGGCAAAGCATTTAGAAGCTGTCAGGGAAATAGCAGATGCAAAGGGTAATTGGAAAGATTATGATAGGGACTTTAGAACACTAGTCGCCCAGGGACAAGTTGCCTGGGGGGATGTCCACATGGAGCTGTATGTCAACGCCAGACTGACAACAAGCCAGACAACAAAACTAAGTAAAGGTAGTAAGGACTACAGTATTAATCAATTCCCAAAGGTGCCTGCTTCCAATATCATTCAGGTAAACACTGTCAGGCTGGAATATCCTGTCGCTTTCAGCATAGATGATATATCTGTTCCGGGGCTCACCCATTTCTTCACTGCACAAAACCAACTGAGCTTCCCTTTCGTGTCATGCAAAAATACCAAAACCAAACAAGCAATACAAATAAACAATCTACCCAAATAAAAACAAACTAATTTTCCAAACAAGGGCCCTACTCCAATCAAGGCAAATAGACTTGCTCTCTGGTTATCTGGTTATGATGAATATGAAACTAAATATTTAATTGATTGTTTTGCAAATGGGTTTTATTTAGGATTCGTAGGAGAATGTTCGGGAATAGAATCTAAGAATTGAATTCTGCACTCGCAAAACCTGAAATTATTAATCAAAAAATACAAAAAGAAATTGTGGCAGGTAGGGTCCAAGGCCCCTTTGAAAGTAAGCCTATCCTTAATATACATGTACAATGTTCACCATTAGGTTTAGTGGAAAAGAAAGATTCAGGGGAATATAGAATGATTCATCACTTATCATATCCGGATAACCATTCAATTAATGATGGCATACCACCTGATGAGTCATTTGTTCAATACTCATCTATTTTAGATGCTATTCAGTTTATAAAACAATGTGGGGAAGGTGCATTCTGCTCTAAAACAGATATTAAGTCAGCATTTCGAATAATTAACCTACACCATACACAGTTTAAATTGGTTTAAGTTCATCTTGTAAAATATTTGAACGATTCTCAACAGCTTTGCAATGGATTGCGCAAAATAAACTTGGGATATCTTGCATTTCACATGTTTTGCACGACTTTATTATTGTAGACAAATCACCTGCACAATGTGTCGACAAGCTCAAAACTTTTCTAGCTATGTGTACAGATATTGGGATGCCTATTTCACTTGAAAAAAAACATGTGGTCCAAAACAGGTGATAACATATCTGAGTTATGAATTAGATTCAACTAAAATGGAATGTAGACTTCCAGAAGACAAAATTTTCAAGTGTTTGCTTTGGAACAAACTAAGTTAACATTAAAAGAACTGCAGTCAATTATTGAATTTTGCTTGTAATGTAGTGTTGCCAGGTAGAGCCTTTTTAAGAAGACTTATTAATTTGACTAATGCAATCAAAAAGCAATTTTACAGAATTCGAATGACAAGGGAAGTTAAGGAGGATCTGAATGTTTGGTTAGATTTTCTTTCCAATATCAATGGTTCTTCAATGTTTCTCCCTGATAGATGGATAAGTTCAAGTGAATTAAAGTTATACACTGATGCGTCAGGTGTTGTTGGATATGCTGCAGTTTTTGGTAGTCAGTGGTTTAAAGGAGAATGGAATAGTAGTTGGCAGTACCAAAACATAGCAGTCTTAGAATTGTACCCTATAGTCCTGGCAGTACAAATCTGGTCTAAATTTATGAGTAACAAATGCATTATGTTCAACACCGACAACCAAGCACTGGTACATGTCATTAATAAGCAAACATCTAAAGATAAGCATATCATGTTTCTTTTGAGAAAACTTGTATTGACATGCTTAAAATATAACATTTATTTCAAAGCATTGGACTTCAAAAGAAAATTTACTATATGATTGTCTTTCTCGTTCCAAGGTAAATCAGTTCTTACAACTGGCACCATGGGCGGACAGAAATCCAGTCAACGTGCCTCCACTTCCAAATTTCCCGAATTAACATGGCAAATACAGATGCTCCTGGATTCCAGCCTCACCAATTCTTCAACCGCCTCGTACTCCCATGCATGGATGATTTCTCAAACCTTATCACAGAAATATGACTTTCCGGTGGAGCTTCCAGTTAAACAACATATTTTAGTATATTACTTCACATACGTTTTTTTCGAGGAACTATTAGTCCATGAGCCAGGCCATGGATTTTTCGGTATCGACACCGTCTTGGGTGAATAATTTTCATAGTTATTTTTTGAAGGACATACATCTCTACCTTCAGAAAATGTATGATAGCATTCAATTGATTGTGGCTTTAATGGTGAATCAACCGTGTCCATATATCAACTCAACTTGTTCGTTCTCTCAGCTGTGTCTTTAAAAGAAGAACGTTGGTTTTTCAATTCGCAATTTCTATCTTATTTCGAACGATGTTTTCTTGAAAATTCTTTTGAATGCATACCATGCTATTACCCTTTCCAATAATCATTCGATATTGGCTCTGTAATCAGCGGTCTAAATTATATAGGAGTATAATTCTACCCTTGATCATAAAAGTGGAATATGAGTTTTTTACATTTTTATCAGCTGAAAGAAATAACTACTGTGACAATTTTCACATCAAAACATATTGCACAATCATTTTATTTAAAGGATTTTTATCACTTATTAGCATTTTAAAAACATTATTTCAGTGACAAATATTTATAACTTGATTTCATAGTAAATCTTTATTCCTATCCTAAAAATGAAAATCGAAGAAAAATTCCCTTGATTTACCTTGTGCGTATATTCTTTACTTAACATAGATATTGTGAATATGTCAGGTCTCAAGTAGAGCCTTTGCGTAAAATGTTTTATTTATTTAATCTCAAGCTAAATCATGGTGATAATGTATGTTCATCTAAGTTAAACGTGTACTATACCATACATTTTTGACATCAAAATTAAGCAACATATGTGTGCAGTCATTTGTTTCAATATACTTAGTATGTGTGCTTTGTGGGCAGTGGGCAGTGGACATTGTCTCACGACGCCCCTTCCCTCCACTAGTTCGAGTAGAGAGAACCTGTATTCTCTTAAGGGACATCCCTCTAGAAGAGCTCTCTCTACACAAAGCGCTGACGCGTCTCAAACCCACGTTGATTGAGGGCTTGCCTATCTATAACGCATGTAAAGATTGTGCACCGGCGGACTCTGTGGAGAAAACCGTCATGGTTCAAATGAGAAGAAAGCGGACCAAGTAAGCACCATGAAACACTTGGAGCAAGGCACATATAGCACAACTTGGTCATCCGCTGTATCTGTCTCCATCTCCAGGCGTCCTGACATGTATTGCCAGTTGCTACTGGATCAAGATGTTTGCGGGAGAGAGAGTGAGGTCGGCGACGCGCAACCCTTCATCAAACTCATCGCCCAAGTCATTAATCATCTTCCACCTCAAAGCACTGTGGGGACAGTTGAGGAACGAAGGTGACAGGTACGGGTTCACTGGAAGTCGCTAGTCGCGGACCTGCACACAGACAGAACAGTCCCTAGGGTCGTCAGCCACCTGTGCGATTGAGCAGCCCTCTTTAGGAACTCACTGCTCACCTCCATGGCAAGGGAATCGGATTAGAAAAGGTATCCTAAAATTTCCCTTGTCCACCCTTCCCTAGCCAGTTTACCACGGCTGGTTGGGACCATACACATGCGGTCGAAATAACAAAGAGAACAAGAAAAAAACAAGGATCATTCCACTGTACCATGGATCGTGGAACGTTCGAACGCTTCTCGACAGAGACGCTACAGACAGACCCCAGAGACACACAGCACTGATCGCATTTGAACTCACGAGATATAACATTGACATCGCGCTCTAAGTAAAACCAGGATGAATAGAGAACACACCTCCCAACCTTATTAATATTCAGGGTCATGAACCCAAGGGAGCATTCATTGCATCAGATATTTTCTTTAAACAAGGAAAGACAACTCTAGATTTTTTTCATGGTATAGTCAGTTTCTTTTATTAATTTATATACATTTAAATTGTGATAAAATTGGGGGGGGGGGGAGAAAAAAAATCTTGTGAGATATATGTTTTATTTCATCAAGATCACTTCTGGTCAATTTTTATGTTAAGTAAAACATTAACACACAGTGTATTTTCAGTATGAAATACTGCATAGGTATATGAATGTGTTCACTAAATTTCTGTTTAATAAATACAGGTAAATTGAGTTTCAAGTATACCTGATTTCACATAAGCTACATATCTGCAGCTACTAGTACATGTAAATATTTCTGGAAGGTATCTATCTACATAATTATATTCAGTTATTAATTTTTTCTGTTAACTGAATTCAACAAAAATAATTTAAACTGATATGCACACCATTTATAATATCATGACTCATATTGAAAAAAAAGACAAAGTAAACAAACAGCATGCAATCATGTTTGTATTTGCAAGAAATTTACTAAGCAATACATGTAGACAGACAATGGAATGTTAAACAACAAATAAGTTGTATATCACATGCATATGTTATAACAAATATTATGCTGTTTAAAAATGAAGTAAAAATTTATAAATCAATATTTAGATACCCTTCACATATTTTATTAATTAGATACCTTTCACAAGATCTCCAAACTTTGACTATATTTAATAAACAAAATTAATGCACATGTACATTCTAAATATTTTTTTCCTACTAAAAAAAATTAAAGTTCCATTTTTTAAAGATAATCAACTTTATAATAAAATTCACAGTAAACATATTCAAGTGTTTCTAAAATACATGTGTAATTACAATATGTAATTCATATAGTTTAAGCATGCAATACCAGAGAGAGCTACTTGTAGCTATTACCTCCCTTTTTTGCAAACATTTTCTATACTGTGATTGAATTAAAAACTTCAGTTTTAAGTTATAAATCTTATCTTATTATTTTATAACCTATGAAGTCACCTGCATGGCACAGTGGCAAGAGCGTCTGCTCGAGAGCCATGAGTAAGGAGTTGATCCTTAAATTGCTGGTTCGAAATCCCCCAGTCGGACATAGAAATGAAACTGTATATACAGAGGTCCTGTGTTGCAGTAGGTGCTAGCACCAAAAAGATTCCTGATTGCTCAATTAGCTATGTGTGCCAAGTAAAGGACAAAATTTGCAGCTCTCCACCGGCAAATGTTGGCATCCCCATATGAGTGAAAAATTCTCAAAAAGAATGTTAAACAACGTACAAATAAACAATAAACTATAGAGTCTTTGAATATGCAGATTCTTTTTTTCTGAGAAAGGGATCCTCAAATGATGTTTAGATATGGTTTATAAGAGTAGAAAAGTACTGTATCATCCCAGCTAGTCTTCATGAATTCAGCAACCATTTGTTATATGGTCTGAAAAATATAAAATGTTAATGCATTAACATGAAAGTATATGATTGATATTTTTATAATTCATCATAAATTAATTGAATCAATAAAATAAAGTCACACTTGTTATCTTGAAATGCTTATGGGACTGCTGAAAAAAAAAACTGAGATATCCAAGAGATTCAGGGTAAGATATATAAAACAAAAAATGTTGTTCAAGGGACTTTAAAATGACTTTGATATCTCAATGTGTTCAAGATATCACTCGGTGTCAAAGATATACACTGAAAGTTCAACTCTAAACAGGGTATATAAAATTCATATACATGTATGCCATTTACAGTTGCTAATTTTATCTATCATTGTTCATTAATAATCTGCATGAGAAAGATATATGCATAAAATGAGCAGATTATATTAACAAAAGTAAATCATATATATGCAATTCCAAGTGCAAATCATTCATCCAATTTGTAATACTGTCATGAACATCAACATACCCTAGGTAGTCAAAGTTGTTTGATTTTAAGATACTGTTGTTTAACTGTACTTATTTAGACTGCACTGTATTCACTTGTTTTCCAACAGTACACGTTTTTCACATTATCTGACATCCATCATTTACTATCATGATGAGAGTTATGCCCCTTTTCTATAACCCCAAAATATTGCTTTCTTTCTGAAAATTGTACCCTTTTTGACCTTACATAGATATCAACTAAAGTCTCCATAAAATAGGACTTTAAATTATGAAAACTTATATTATTTTAATCTCTACTTAACTTAAATGCCAAGAAATAAACAAAATGATTTTCCAATATTTACACAGGACTTTCAACTTGAAGATAAACATTCTGTTTCTAATTATCGCACATCCATAACCCTTGATTCTGGGATTCTGTACTACATCCATAACCCTTGATTCTGGGATTCTGTACTAGGATGTATTCATTCAAAAAATATTATTTATCATGACCTGATAATCTTGAATAGATTTCATAATAAAAGGCTTCAGCCTTAAATATTCCAGAATAAAACTTTGATCCCCCACTGTGGACCCACACTACCCTATAGCTATATGATCTGAACAAATTTTAAATCTGCTCTTCACTATCTCAGAGTGACTAATCATGACCTGCCTATTTTTGAAAAGAATTAAGATTTTATTTTCTGTCTACGGATTTCTATTGTTCTCTCTATTTTATTGCTGTACTTTATTTACATCAATAACATATCATCACCAGTAATCAACATACCTTCTCTTTGGACTTGACATCCTTTCCTAGATTCTTGTGGTTGAAGCTTTCATCAGATAATTTGTTTTGTTACAGCTGAACTACAAATATGATTAATAAGTTAATACAATCCTCTTAATTTAATTAATTCAAATTAAATACAAGCATTTGCAATTATGTGGAAAAAAAAAACTGAATGAAATATCAATGCACTACATGCAAATCAGAAAAATATGTAATGCAGTCATTTACAGTTTGCATAATATGCTGATTTATGTATCAGCATAATTTTCAGTTCATTAAATTGTTTGCTGAAACAGCTGACAATCATTGAACTGCATTTATAAATTCTCTTTTAATGGATTTTCTTCTGCCTTTGAACTTACATGTACTGTTATGCAGCATGACGTGAGAATTTTTTCACCCATTCTTTATTATTAAAGTATCTGCTGAAAGTAGAACAGAATGTGATTAAATCTTTTGAGAATTAAACAAAAACAAAAATCACTGATGTATGATTTTCAATTATATTGACCCTTTTATCAACATTCTCTCTCTCTCTCTCTCTCTCTCTCTCTAACTGTATATAACTTTACACAGGATTCTTTTATACATTGATATACATGTACATGAAGATATTGGAGTAATTGGACATCCTAAATATTTTTTCTTTGTTTATTCCAATCAGCATGATCAGGATGATAATAATTGAATAATAAGTTGCCTGTTAAATGTTAAAAAATTATCCTTACAATTACATATAAAATACTCACAACAGTCAAACCTTGAACTTGCACATCGCTGTCTTCAGAGTATATCCTGCAAGAAACATTTATTGCACATTATAATTGAATTGAATTGATTTTCTTTTTTTATATCTGCTTTTTTTGTTTATTTTAATGAAATAATAATTTTTGTGCATTAAATACAGTATCAAACGCATACATAATGAAGACCATTTTTAAATTCAATCAACAATGTCATTCTTCAAAAGAAAAGACATACATTGTATACATGTAAAGATCAGTAAAGCCCATATTTTAAAAGTGAAAAAAAAATTTCTTGTGTGTATAATTTGTGTGGGATGGTGCATATCATTAAAAAAAACAAACAAAAAATGACTTTACAATGCAAGGCTAAAAAATAATTGAAGGCCCACATGACTGGGGTCAGTGATTTTTTTTTAATCTAGAGTAGTACATGGTAGGGAGCATCTGTCTTTTGGGTCAGGTCTATGTATAACAAAATACAATTACAGTTGGGCTAGTAACTTGACAGGGTTGGTTCAAAGTTCTGTCATTTAGGAATCCTGTTTTGTTTACATTAATTAATTATTTGTCCAACTGTGTATCACATGAAATAAACAAAATATAACTATTACATTTATCATGGATTATTATTATTATGATTTTGGGTCAGTCTCTTTTTATTAAAATCTAGTAGCCTAGTGGGACAGTCTCAATATTATGATGGGCTGACCAGTAAAAAGCCTAAGTGAGCAGTGAAAGAAAACTATTTCTAGCCTGGGCCTACAGTGATTTTTACATTTGTGCTTTATTATATACATTTTGTAAATTCAATAATGTTTATTACCTTATACATGTAGGGTCAATTGTGTTATTTTTGTCATACCTGGAGATGGCTGTTCAAAATGTACTCTAACCTGCAGTAGACAAACAAAAAAGAAAATTACTTTTCATTTAACACAATGTAAATTATCTTAATTTTAGCAATATCTTTTCATTACACAGATTGATGCATGCATGCATGTAATTTATTATACCCCCAGCTTGAAAAGCGGGAGGGTATATTAAGTAATCGGTATGTCCGTCCGTCTGTTATGATTTGGTGTATCTATCTCTTATCCGCTAATTCCTCTCATGCCACTGAGTGACATTTGACAACTTTCACATAATCTATATTACATATTGCAATTGTGCATCTTCTATTTTACTTTTTGATACGCCACATATATGGGGTTTCTCATAGCAAAACATGGACACAGTCATAATAAGTATAATGTGAGAACTGCATTGACATCATCTGATCATAAATTCTGTGATATTAAATTAGAAAAAAAACAACCATATTTTGATCAGTAGGCTCTAGTGCAATCTGCATGATTGATATAAACAGCTGACACTATCAAAACTGCAAACAAATGTAAACAAACCTTTAATCCTTTATCCAGGTACACATGTACATGTGTAGAGGAAATTCGGAAGAACTCCTTGTGCATACACACGAGTACGGATAGAATTAAATTTTGGTATTTGAAAACACACATATGGTTCTCACAAATCACTGGGTATTGATAAGTAAGAATAATGACTTTTATACGCGCAACTCTGCATATGCATGCATAGTAGACTACCTTACAAGTGTAGGAACGAACTATAGCACACCTGCATTTTCTCTTCAATTTAAGACATGCTATTAACAACATTTGACAAACATGCCCTAAATTATTTAGCCATTTTGTGCCACAGATAATCGAAAAAATAAATGTAATTCTACTTACGAGTGTTTTTGTTTACTAAATCAATGTATGTGGGTTAATCTTGACCGACACACTACTCCCTTCCACGTGGAAACATGTTTACAAAATCGAGAGGTGCTGTTTTGACACTTTAAAGTGCAATAGCACTTGACAGAATAAGAAACTGCAAACCTACTTTCACTTTTCAGGTAAAGAAACGTTTGTTTTTCAACTTTTTGCAATTTACAAATTTTATAAATCGAGATAACATTAAGTTTTACCTCTTTTTTCATGTTGAATTTCTCTCTCGATTTTCACCTCTACCATGTTGGTCTCGCTGAATTCTCGCGAGGAAAGCTATTCGGACGTTTACGGATTTTGTTCATATTTTATTACGTTTATCTCCGAATTCTTCCGATTTATGCTAATGAGGTTAGGAGGTGTGGAGAAGATGAACTGTGTGAAAGAGGCGCTGGCTACACCTTCTTTTGGAGTGGACAAGGAGCCAAGGAGAGACGAGAAGCTAGCGTAGCTAGGCTTTGCTATAAAGATGACACTTTCTTGCAAGCTAGTTGGCGTACCCAAAGGAGTGAACGACCGCCTGATTTCGAAGAGACCCCCTTACTCGAGGAAAGTTCGCCACTATTGTCAGCGCATATGTTCCTACCCTGACTAACCCAGAGGAGGCTAAAACAAGTTCTATGAGAACCTGCACAATGTCATCAACGTCGCCCCCAACACCGACAAGCTCGTTTACGGTAATTCTTGATGACTCTAATGCGAGACCTGAACGTGACACCACCACCGGGGAAGGTGTGATTGGGAAGAACTGAGAAAGCACGTGCAACAGTAACAGTCTGTTGCTTCTCCAGACCTGCACTGAACATGGCCTTCTCATCAATAACACCGTTTTCTGCATTCCCATTTATAACAAGACGTCATGGATGCACCCTCGCTCAAAGCACTGGCATCTAATTGACTACGTCATTGTCAGGAAGAGAGACAGACAGAAAGTACGTTTGTTCATCAGGGCTATGTGCGGCGCGGAGTGCTTGACAGATCACCGTCTCATCGTCTCTAAACTTCAACTCTCAACATCCGGATCAAACTCAGGATACGTCCTCAGGGGACGAAGGCTTCAAAACGTCTCAACGTTGGAAAACTCAAATTGCCTTCCACCTCTCAATTCTTTGCTGACACCCAAGAAGAACGCCTGAAATCCACCGTCCTGGATGACCACGACGTGGCAGCAGCATGGAGTACACTTCGTAATACAATGTACAATACAGCCTTCGGGTGTCTTTGGCCCTCCACAAAAAACACAAAGACTGGTTTGATGAGAACCGTGAGGAGATCACGCAGCTTCTAGAGGACAAACATCGCGCTTACATGTACAAGGCTCATATAGATGATCCGACCTCAACAGCCAAAGAAAAAAACGCTCTGAGGAACGCTCGCAGCACAGTACAGCAAAAGCTTTGGTATATGCAAGACTCCTGGCTGAATGCCAAAGCTGACGAGATCCAACGCTCAGGACAGAGAGAACTTTTACTGTAGACTTGGGGAAGTCTACGGCCAACTCCATCAGGCTCATCCCCTCTCCTCAGTGATGACGGGTTAACACTCATCACAGAGAATGAAAAGATACTCGACAGGTAGGCGGAACATTTCAATGGCGTTCTGAACCATCTCTCTACCATCAACGACGAAGCCATCAACCGACTATCCCAGGTACCCATCAACAAGTCAATGGACACCGTTGCTACGTTGGAAGAGATAGAGAATGCAAATAGTCTGCTGTCAACTGGCAAAACACCTGGCAGATACTCCATCCCAGCTGAGATTTACAAAGAAGGTGGCGTGGCTCTAGTCGAAAAACTCCTTCGCTTGTGCGAGGATCCGCCTGACCATTCAGTCACCTCCGCTCCCACTGTCCAGGTCAACCCCTCCCCCCACGAAGGTGAGACAGTGGTCATCGTCGTCACCGACGGACGAATAACTAAACTAGTTTATGTGGGTTGGTACTTATCTTTTTCGTCATACAAATTTATGAGGTACACGTTATTATTCAATAAAAGTTGTAAAAATATGCAATTTTTGTTAGAATCACGGATAGAAACTCGGTTAATGCTCTTTTAATGTTTTCATCATATCTCTGAGTAATTCTGGAGGAACTTTCTATCACGGTTGGCAACTGTGTGACAAATACTTTGCAGGTTGCAAATATATTTAGCTCAAAGTACCTAATATGAGCAAATAAAGGGCAATAACTGTGTCTCCAGCATTGAAGACACAACGGATTTGATGCTATCATACATTATCTAACTAGTTAGGGGTATTCCTTACCAAATATCACTTTAAAGTTTATTCACCCAAAATGGTACCAACCACTCCCAGTGGCTCATGGACTATACGCAGCACAGTTAAGGTTACAAATGGAAATATCGGCGATTTTTTAAGATACAAAATACATACTTTATTAGGATGGGTGATTCTTTTTAGGACTTCACTGATATCAAAATAATATAATGTGGTTGAAATCTACATGTTGGGGACATTTAGATTTTTTATTTAGACTTGTTACGTGATGTCGGCGTTACCTGATTTTAGCAATTATACTTGCAGTTTAGAGGTCATCTCTAAATTCCAATATTGCAAGGGCATAACCAAGTTAAAAATCTTTATTTAATTTATAATCCTTTTCAACACTCTATGTAGTTTGTGAATAGTGCTGCAAACCTATATAGATTCCCTTTTTTAATTGCTAAAACTTAATCTGCTGGACGGAAGGTTGAATATTTTGCTGGTCAATTACATTAAATATAGCTATAATCAATTTATTTGCACGATTTCATGAGGTTCGAAGCACTTTTCAAATATCTTAATGCTTCTTGAGTTTATGAGTAAAAACTTGACAAGAGATATTGAGGGCATGCCCTTGCAATAAATCGATTTATTAGGGCCCTTCGAGTACTTTTTCAATTAATCTGCATACAAACACACGACAGTATCACTTGTCTGGAGAATGTACAGACAGTTTATAAATAAAATACTAAAATAGACATCGCATCCAAGTTATAGGAATTTTATTTAATTCACGCTTCCACGCTCCGCGCACCGATGGCAACGAAAGTCACGTGGTTGCAGCCTCCGACAACCTAACGTAAACAACATGGATGCGATTTACAGAATCGCATGGAAAAAAAAGTTCAATGAGCTTGTTTGCACAGAAATTTTTACAGAAATGTTTGTCGAAAGTCATATAAGTTTAATTGAGGTTTCAAACACAAAATTTTAGTAAGTAGAAATGGGAAGGAAGAGTGATTTTAACCGCCAAGATTTCCTCCAGTATTAAATTCTTTGTTACCGACGTTGGACAAAATTATTTTTTTGTTGTTGCAATCATGAATGTAAGTCTATTTAATGTGTTACTAGCATTTATTCACCCATCACTTCATCACACAATAATTTTGAGTTCAACAAGCTGAAAATTTTTATTTAATTATTTTAAATATTTGCTTTAAAATCACCTCTACACTGCTTACTAAAAGGTCTGCACTGATTCTGTGTTATTTGTATAAATTGAAATTAGAGTATACTGGATACCCCTAGTCCTAGATCTAAAATTAAAAAGAATGAAATCTACAGTGTTTTATTCAATTTGTAATAAACTCAAGCATTTGTAACATTTTAATAGGCCAAGATAAATTAAATGAATACTTTAATTTAATATGCACATGTTTTTCTCACACAAGTTAACAATAGTGATTTCTGTTCATCTGCATTCATCATCTTTATTTTCTGTGGGATTATGCAAGGTACCCTATGCTGAAAATGAAATGGATATACTCAAAATTTCCACCTTAATACAATACATTTTCTAAATGTCTAACAATTAATATTTTGCTTGGGGGCATTATATAGAGGGTCCTTAAGATCATTTAAACAGAAAACAATTTTTTTTTAATTTCAGATGTTTCAGGGTTTTTGTCATGTTTAGAATATTACTGAAGATTTTCATTCAAAATTCAATTTTTGACTTTTTTTTAAGTTTATGGTTCTAGGCATATACTTTGTGACATTCATTTCAGAAATCCTTCTTAGTTTTACTGTTTTACATATTTGGAAGTTACATTGTGAAAGAATGTTTAATGATCAAAACATTCAGTGTACTCCATCTATTCTAAAACTAAAGGTGAAGCACGAACTTAAGGGAGTAAGGAAAATATTCACATACTGTTGAACAAATAAGTTACATTCAGTATTTCAAACTGCTAGGTTTAAAGGATTTCCTTGCAGAACAAACATGGTTTCTTCATCAGCAGTGACATACTCAAAGAGGAATCAAAACAACTCTGTGTCAATCAATGATATACTTTCGTAAATTAATGAATATGATTTGTTTAAAAAAAAACACTATTCCCTCTGAACAATGAAAGTACGCCCTCCAGCGTAGCAACAGTAAACATTGCTTGATGGGTGATATTCCAAGAAATATATACATGTGCAGAATTTATGCATGCACAGTTCAGTTTACATTTCTTCGTATCGAACATTCAGTATAATATTACACCAAACTGAAATATACTCGTTTTCTGTCACCAGACCTACCCTAGATTTTACCCTCCCACCCTAAAAGTTTTTTTTACATTTTCATTTTTTGAGGGCTATTTTCCTGAAATATTAAAGTCAACCAACAATATTTACAATATATTACAGAACTAATAAATTACAAGTGTACAGGATACTTTTACTTAATCTTTATTAACAAACATGCTTTTTAAACTGCTCACATACTTTTTTCGTGTTAATATATGCTATATGTTCGGCATTCATTGAGATTTGAAAATAAATTTTTTTCTCAAAATAATTTTTTTCCTACCTACCTACCCTATTTTTTTGGTCAGGGGACAGGAAACAAGAGTATTTTTTCTTTGGGCCTTAATTATAAATACAGCTTGCCGTTGAGGGTAACATTGAATATATTTTCCCCTCAAAAGCCATGGTCAACCTCAGCTGCGCGCTAAGTTGACCATGGTTTTTCTTGGGGGGAAAATTTTCAATGTTTGCCTCAAGTACATGCTGTATTTAAAAACAATATCACAGATGTTAAATACAAAATAAGCAATGTAAAGAAACAATTTGTGCAGAAGAAATAAAGACAAGGTATAGGTATACAGAACTGTGCATTTCTAAGATCTGTAAAAATATATTTGTTTATGTTAAAGTATTTTTTCCTTCTATCAAATTTTCC